AGCTTCGGTGTACCGGACCGCTTACAGTATGCCTGACGTTTAGCACTCACGAAATTCATTCTGTAAATTCGCGACGGATTCAATTTCATGCGCAATTTAGGGGGGGGGTACCATATCCAGAGCCTTGTAGGAGGCTTATCCATGTGGGCACCGCTCGTTGCTGGAAACAGGGCCCGACATGCGTTATTTGATATTTTGGCCAAGTAGAATCCCTCCCCAAACATTTCCTCGCTCGGTACGGCTTCTTTCACAACCTACCTTTTCGTTCACCAACTCAACCAACGTTTTCACCACTTTGCCGTTGAAGCGGAGGGTAGGGGGAGGGTAGATGCCTATAACTATCAACAATTAGACTTTTTCTCCTCATGGCTAAATGCGATATCCTCTCCTGCGGTCAAGTACGTTCAAACCACAAAAATCTCGCTCGCGACTTTCGGAGCCCACAGCGATGGATACTGCTTGAAAATAGGAACCGTGCACGGTTACTCAACATTTTGGAAACCAGTATTCAGGTACTATCGCACTTTGTGGTAGCAGTGGTGAAACGAACTCGAGTGACCCCCCCCCACCCCTCAACGAGTAATGACGCATCATACAACATGAGCTAACAGACCTGTCCATGCGATACGTAGCATTTCCTAACAGATAAGGGTTATTTTAGTCTAATGATAACGTGTAAGCATTGCTACCACGAACTGCGATAGACCTATTAAGGGACTATTAGGGTGAAGGAGAGTGGTGGAGGAGGGGGGGGGGTGGAGCATTTTACACGTTGCTACTTCTCACCGACGTGTCGACCAATCTGGAAAGACCTTTCTTAAGTTGACGATTTTACTATGGTGGCTAGACAAGCTTACCTCAGCTTTACAAGAGTTCACAGGTTTCACCAGAGTGAGACTTGTAAACCGGAACTAGTGAAGCAACGAAAGTGCAAATTGCCCTCCCCCCTCCGTCGAATGGCGCCGCCGTAGTATTTCACTATTCATATTTAGGCCCTAAGCTCAACTTGTAATAAAGAAATGCCCTTTGTGTGCGCTTGGAATGTTGCGCTGAGAAGCCAACGAAGATTTCATTTCCCTGCAGAAAGAAGGCGACATGAATGTATTTTTTTAGTACCATGAGGCTGCGTTCATAGCTTGCGACGACGTTGCCGTCGTCGACGTGACCGGCGTTACCGGCGACTACGTTCAAAAGAATAAATACGTATCGATCCTTATCACGGTAGACGTGGATTCGATATCTCATCTTCTGAAGGTAGTCGCCGGTTAATTTGACGACGGCAACGTCGTCGGTTACATCGGATCAATACGTATTTCAGCTTCAGGAAGTAGTCGCCGAAAACGTCGGTTACGTAGAGGTTGCACCGACTGGTCCAAAACCTCGTTACAGTGGTGTGTGTGGAGATTTGCCCAGTTGAAGCGCGGGCCGTATGCTATACTTCCTCCCCTCGAGAGGAATATATCCCCCAGTAGACCTCCGCTGTCTGCCGTTATCTCTATCAATGCTCTCTGCTTCAGTCTCTCTGCATCTCTGTTCCCCCAGTCACCCGGAATCTCCCCAACGGCATGTGTTGGGGGAGAGGGGAAGAGATCGATTATTCTCTGCGCTGTACTATATTCGCTCAGAGCGTGCGCCAGAAGGGTATGGTTGCGTTTATGCTATGCGGCAGCGTACGCTAGCTTTCCAGCGAGATATCCCTAGTAATCCTCACTCCTCCCCCCACCCCCTATCTCTACTAATGTCTCTCGCCGCTCTGCATCCATAGGCTGCGTTTATACTTCGCGGCAGCGTACGCTAGCGTTTCCAGCGTTCGGCAGCGGCAGTGGCAAGGGAAGGATGGATATCGATCTAGCGTCACCAGCGTACGCGTACGCTAGCGTAGCGAGGGCAAGGAAAGCATAGGTATCGATTTAGCGTTTTCAGGTATATATGTATATGTATGTTATATGTAATATATAGGGTTTGGGTTTACATAGGGTTTGGGTTTTCTCTAAAGGGTTTGGCGATCTAGGCTCCGCCCCCTTGACCACGCCCACTTGCTTTTTGCGGAATTTTGATATTTTTCAAAATTTTTGCGTTTTTGGTCTGCTACGTGAAGCCCCGCCCACTGTGAGAGGCTCCGCCCACTCCGAAGAAGCCCCGCCCACTTTGGACAAATAAATCAGGCAAAGTTTCTCCGAGTGACAAACTTCGGAGTGGGCGGAGCCTCTCACAGTGGGCGCGGCTTCACGTAGCAGGCCAAAAACGCAAAAATCTCGAAAAAAAACATCAAAATCTTTCCTTGCCCTCGTTACGCTAGCGTACGCTGGTGACGCTAGATCGATATCCATCCTTCCCTTGCCACTGCCGCTGCCGAACGCTGGAAACGCTAGCGTACGCTGCCGCAAAGTATAAACGCAGCCTATGGATGCAGAGCGGGAGAGCCAG